TCATTCAAACCCTATCTTATACAAATGTGTTTCTTTAGGATTATGGACTTCTAATTATTAATGTGTGAATAATATTCTTTTGGGATCATGATTTGGTGATTCTTTTTAGTGATCCTACCTATAGTTGAATATATATTTTCCTAATACAAGAGTTGCACACACATAGTTGTGACTAAAGCTTCAAACGAGCCAAGCAGAGTCATGTTCAAGCGTCTGACACTCGAGCTCGACCCATGCATCAATATCGAGTAGAAAAACAAGTTTTAACAAGCCGAGCTCGACTCGTTAATTAAACGACCTTTAAATGATCTCGGGCTCAACTCATCTGTCAGTCAAGATCAACTCAAGCTTTTATGAGGCAAGTTTGGAGCGTCTAATTTCATTTCATAAAGCGACTTCAAAACCATCGAGCAAGATTTTTTTATCAACGTTGAACAAAAATTATATGAAAGATTCCTAAAAGTTTGTCATTTTCAATTCCTTGTAGTTAGTTACATTCAAATTGAGGATTATTGTGACACCCATGCAAGTCTTGCCTTTTACATTATATGTTAATTTCCAATAAATTCATGTCTAATAAGCTAATCACTAATCATAATCAACATCAACATCAGCAACAATCTGCATGAGCTAAAAGACGTAAAAACAAAGAGCAAATACATGAGGGGGCATGCCATTTTGGTCATCAAAAGGACACATGTCAAGCTAACAATGTCTATCATTGTTGCCTTATTAATATAGGAGAGATAAATATTATTAAATACAAAACATATTTGGTATATTTTTTTCAGTTTCCTGAAAAAAAGGGAACTCCCACAATCCAATCTCCATCACTAGGCCAGCATTTAAACACATACAGCTTTTGAGTCACCATCAAAGTACATTTTTAACTAACAAAAGAATAATTGTGGGCGAGGGACGAATTGTACTGATTACAACGAGAAACCTGAAATTTGAGAACTTGATAGAAACTCCCTTCGACAGATCAGCCCTTCCGAAGTTTGAATTAGTCACGTTAGAAGTGGAGAAATTGATCGATCATGGTTGTGCCTGCCAAGAGTTATTCGTAAAAGTCACATTAACAACTAATTGCATAGGAATTAAGATTGCAAACGGAAAATGGATTCATCTGGATGCTTCTTGTTGTGTTAAAGAATAGGAAAGGAATTTTGGATATAAAAATGTGAAACTTTGATAAGGTGGTTGGACACTAAAGGAGGACTGGGGGATTAACGAGAGTTGATATGATATTTCCCCATTATGTATTATTGATCGTCAAGAATCGTGTAGGAAAAATGTGAAATAGTTATTTGCTCCGTAGAATTGTTGGGTAGGTGCGATTGGTGAAAGGAAAATTCGGATTAAGTAGCAGTAGTGTGGCTTTTAGAAAATTTGGAGGGAAAAGGAAATATATAGTAAACCAAAAATGTCAAAGCGCATCACGAAACTGATGGTTAGAGGTGAAAACTGAAAGATTTCACGCCTTACCTCAGTAAAGTTCCTTTCTCAGCTGAGTCTAGTTTCAGGCCAAGTCCACATTTTAAAGCCCCATTTTATCTCTCTTCTTCAGGGGGTTTAGAAGTATCTGTGGCAAAGCCGATTTTTTCCATGATCTCCTCCAGCCGCTGAACATTGGTAAGGTACAAATAACCAACCTACACAGATTGTTATAAACCACTTTACTCTTTAAAATAAATGGGCATCTCTGAAAATTTAGGAGCACCGTAAGTAATGAAACACCATAAGTTACAACCCATTTTCAGATTGATTAAGATAATTGTGGGAAGCTAGAAAATTAACTGCAAAGGACAAGCATCAAACAAGATGGCGTAATTTGGTTGGCTTTCACTACTTTACATGAATTGTAGGAGGTCAACAAACAGATTAAGCTACAGTACTGGAATCTTGAAAGACTTAAATAATTGCTTTTTCTGTAGGTTTGATTTTGAAACAAGCAACTTTCATATCTCACATAAGAGTTGCACCATATTCCAAAGACACAGTCGGATTGAGTTGATTGATTCCAGGTTTTTTTACACAAGTGCTGAGTATCCGATGCCGTTTCTTTATTCTCACCAGTGCCTCCAAAGAACATGATAAGCAAATATTCGTCTTAAAATGCCACTACATTGCGAAATTTTCTTATCAGCATGAGCAGATAGTAATAGATTACATGATCCTCTGAGAAGGAAATATCAAACATCGTATTCTGGTCAAATGCACACATGCTTCGCCTTCAAGTGTTGAAGTTTAGTTAAAATCATAAAGCAAAAGCCAATGTTCTCGAAAGTGGCATGATAAGAAGAGAGGAGAATTATGTCACTATCATGGAGTCCGCCCTTAAATCGTCTATCAGGAAAACGGTAATGTAGGCACAATCATTTAACTCAGTGCACAGAATCATTAGTATCAACTTAGGATACAGCAGAAGAAGTTCTTTAAAGAAAGATCCTGCATGAGGAAAAATCTCAAAAGAAAATAAAAGCAATGGATATGACATTATTCTTGTACATGGTAATTATCCTTTAGTAGTTCAACATTAGTAGGCAACAGAAACTTACTAGTGTCTCCAGTGAAGATGCTCTGTTGTAGACCGCAACACCTGCACGCTTCTTTGTTCGTGTCTTTGAGGAATTAATATTCTTCCCCCAACGGAGCACATCTCTGTTTTATAAGAATTCTTTCTTTTAGATCAAGAACTCAGAACACCGTAAAGACAAACTGAAGCTATATGTTCTACCAAAAGGTGAAGAGACATAAAAGCCAGAGGCAGAAAGGAGAAAGTAAAATTCTGTAAAAGTTTAGAAGAAGTTTCCTACCACTATACAACACGATCATTAAAGAAATATATATATACACGGACTGTATTAAATGCTAGGACAGCAATTATGCTAGGAGTAAATTATACAGAAAATAAACATAAATTGTGGTCTGCATATGAAGGACTTTGCTTATATAATTAACTTGGGATGAATACTATGGAAAAAGGTGCATTATAATGCTTTTTCCTTTTCATATAATGTCATTGTATACATAACTACATATGTCTGAGAAAAACAATAAAGTCGATACAAACCTCTCTTCTTGTGATAAGAAGCTGTCACTCCTAAGTTTTTGCAATATTGCATCCTGAAACATGACAGACATATTCATCATTTTTCATAAACTCGGTCCTCCCCAAAGCATGGGGCTCTAAATTAAGTAATTCAGAATCCCGACACAAACGAATAAGCAATCCCACAACACCAACCACAGAAATATCTATAAAAAAGATACAATGAGTTCTTGATAACTAGCAAAGTTCATAAATGATAAGAGAAAAAGGAAAAGAAAAACAGTATCACATGTAAGATAGCCAAATAAATTAATGCAAATTCACATAACGGACAAAGACTATTAAGGATGGTGTCTAATTTAAAGATATCATGTGCACAACGTTAAATCGATACTTTAAACAATAATGAGAATTAACACGTCGAGCAAAATAGCAATAGGGTATTCGAAACTTAACAAGCCTTGTTTATTAACAACCTAGGTTAGCCAAGTATCATGACTATCATTTGTAATGTACATGAAACTTCAAATTAGTACCTGTGCTTCACAACGAACGACAGCCATCACACGGTCATTGTATTCTTCAATATTTAAGGGAGGAAACAAGAAATGCCTGCGAGCATATAACTGGGCACAGTTGACAAGGCAAACATAAAGAGAATCATTAGAATCAGCTTCCGCAAGTGCATACGTTCATTCGGTATACCATTAGTATTCCAACAACCTTGCATAGAAACACGAAATACGAGACAATCGGAGCGAATTTTCGTTTGCATTATCTAGCAAGTGTTCACCTATAAAAAATGTTTTGTTAATACAAGCACTTCTATCAATATTTCCAACTAAACTTGTCTACCTTGATGTTGTATATCAACTCAAACTATTTCTAATTTTACTCTGTGTGAACCTTTCAGCTACCTATGTCACTGTACAGATATGTATAACGTACTTTTCAATTGAATCAGTCCAGTACAATGCATTTATTTAAGCTCATTATAGGTTTCATCTGCAAAGAACTACCTCTACCACTGAATATGCCTACAAAGAACTGCACGTTTTAAGACCTCGCTCTATTAAGTATTAACATAACAAACGCCTCAACAATCTCACTCCATTCTCAATGCATTATCTGCACAACTTCAGAATAAATTGTTACTGCGCTGAAATGAATCGATCCAAAAAAAGTTTGCATAATGTTTCCAATGCATCAACTCGACTTTTTTCCACTGAAAACTACAAAACACATCAAGCACCTGACGATAAAATGCACACCTCATAAATGCAGTCCCCGATGTAAGCGAGTGATGCAGGGTTCAACACAGACCGAGGCTTCTCCACTTTGGGTGGAGTGGGCAGCCATGTTTCATATCCCAAATACGAGCCACCTAATTCCTCTAAACCAACACCAGTACAGTTAAAATGGTCAGCACCAACACCTACCCAGAAACTCCCAGCATAGATTACGCATATCAAATCAAATAAGTTGGGCTAATAAGCCTACAGGCAATAAAAACATATTATGTATACTACTGACACAAACTAACTACAGCAATCGGCACACAAATTACAGTCACCACACACATTAGTATCAAACAATACAAAATCATTGATAAAATACACTTGAGTACGCTGCAGAAGCTCAGACAAAATCACCCGACAAAAACAACTTCAACCAATTGGAGCAACACAGCAAAAAATGCCGCTCGTATTGAACATAGGAAATTGACTCCGTTTATACCTTGAGCACTTTTCGAGATGTCGCGTTTAAGGAGGTCCGAAACGGATATCTTCGGGGAACGCTTGTCGAGTGTGGTGGTTAGAGTGGTCGGTGGTGCCGCCGTCAACGAGTCTGGTTTCTTGGGACGAGTGCGGCGGGGATTGTACGGAAGACGGTGCTCGACGTCCAGGGGCACCGAGGAAGCCCTTACGGCGGACGACAGGGATAGCATCGAGAGTGCCATCGCCGCTGATGTTCCGCAGGAATATTTTTTTTTTTCTTTTTTTT